GTTGTTTCCAATTTTTCCGGCTAAATGGTATTTAAATATCCTAATGTTTTAATGTCTTTACATTTAAATATCCTAAGTTGTAAAAAAAATAGCATAAAAATATCCTAACTTGTCAAAAAATAGCACATTGCTACCTTATGTTAAATAGATAACATAATATTCCTAGGAATATTTATATGTTCATAGTACACATGAATTTTTTATTGTATTGCCTCTATTTATTACTTTAATTACCATTTTACCTACTCCTTAAGGTACCGTTTGGCAAAGGGTTAAGTGAGGGGTTAAGGAGACTTAACCCCTTCTTAACCTACCAAACACAACAAATCTATATAAGGGTTAAAGTGAGTTAACCCTCCATAGTTTGCCAAACATAAAAAATATAGACGGGCTAAGTTAACCCCTCTAGAGGGGTTAAAATGAGTTAACCCCTCAAAATGAGGGGTTTACTAATACTCCTATTTAGATGGAATAAGAGTTAACCCTTCTAATTAAAAAAAAAATAGTCAAAATCATTGTTATTCCCAAACACTAAAACTGATCATAAGGGCTAAAATAAAACTTATTTAACGGGTTAATAATTTAGTCCTTCGGATTATCAAATGGGCTAAGTACATTAATCCTTCTCTTTAACCTCTCTTCATTAACCCTTTGCCAAACGGGGTCTAAATTTATTACTAATATTTTAACAGAAGATATTTCCATCAAAACTAATGATGTTAGCTTAATTTTAACTGTGGACAATTTGAAGTATTTTTATACCACTTTTTACGGCTTAGGATATTTAAGTGGCATTTAGCAGCCCCCCACCCCCTACCCAAGTGGCAGACTAACAGTAGAGTAGGAAGAACATTTGAAAGGAGGTACACCTATGGTTGGAACTTAGCCTTTGCCTAACCCCATGCGGGAAGCACGAGTGGATGCTTGCTTCCGCTATCAAATTTTCAATAATCTTACCTTAGCTTCTCAAATATTTCAAATTGCCCATAAGTCCTCAAATCTTAAAGGGTCTTATAAATTGGTTTTAATCAAAATGCTCATAATCTCTTTTTTTTTTTTTGTAAAGGCAAGGTTTTGAAGGTAAAACACAAGCTGAGAGCATTTGGGTCATTAATGGACCAATTTGTAAGACGCGATAGGTTTTAGGAATTTATCAGCAATTTTGAAACTATGAGGGGTTAATATGGAATTAAATATGTGGAGGACTTGATATACGTTGGCCGTACAATAATTGCTTTGCTTTGCTTCTCTCCTAAGCTAATTGAAAGCAAAAGATTTATTCTCGTTAAGCTAATTGATATATGTTTGGCCGTACAATAATTGCTTTGCATTGCTTCTCTCCTAAGCTAATTGAAAGCAAAAGACTTCTTCTCACCAAGGGCCCCATGAGCATGGGATTCGGATCCTCTTTACTATATATTTAAAAAGTAGTAGAGAGACTATACATAATCACAATCATTGATTATTTAGTTGATGGTTCTGATTTTTTATTTGAATGCAAATTAGGAAATGATGTAATACAGTGGCATATGATGAGTGTTAGATTTAGATTGTATTATAATCGCATACTAAGTAATCAACGATTGAGATTAAAAGTAGTGGTCTCTCCTCTACTTTTTGTAGTGGAGAGTATAAGTGTGCACCGGTCTGTTTGGTTCGATTTTTACCAAAATTTGAACAATCGAACCGAACCGCCTATAATTCAAAACCGAACCGAACAGTTGCAAGTGGGTTCAGTGCGGTTCGGTTCGGTTTGTTCGATTCTAACTTCATCAAACTTCTTATCAAACAACAAACTGTGTTAAGAAAAAAATGATATCAACAAAGTAGGAGATTATGAAACATTAAACACTGATATAATGATATTGTTTTTAACCCATAATGATTCAAAAAATGAGTTTGGGGTTTGAGTCTTTGACTCTTTGAGGACGGGTCGGGTAGGGTTTGAGATCAGACTGGGTATTATTACATTATATTCGGTCGGTTCGGGTCGGTACGGGTTGAAAAGTTTTCAAACCGACTCGAACCGTTCTACTCATAAAATCGATTTTTCCGGATCGGTTCGGTCGGTTTTTCGGTTTGGACCGAACCATGCTCAGCCCTAGTGGAGAGGATCCAAATTAGTCAGGCTGCTCGACTTAAAAGATCATTTGGGTTTCTTTAGGTTTTGGTGCGTGAAACAATACGCTTGGTAGTAAGTAAGGTTTTTTTTTGTTTTCAAAAAAGAAAGGAACGGAAGGATTCCCCTACTCAGTAGAGCTTGTTCTCGTACTCTATTTATTCTTCAAGTTTCGCTTTCTTCCACCCTCAACCTACACGAACACAGAGGCATGGAAGGAAAGTGGGAGTCGGTAGTGCAGAAACTCAGTGAGCTAGCGGGGTTAAAAGATCCGCAAGAGAGCATGGGCCATTTCCTCTGGGAAAAATCACACCGACTCCTTCAGGTTTACTTGAGCACCTGGGCTCTGCTGGTAGATAAATTCGACCAGACTCTGACGCGAGAGAGGAGATCACTTGCATATGATTTTGTCGCGGAGAAGCTTGACCAACTCTTTCGCAATGTTTGGGCGTTGTTAGCGGAGAGTTTCAGCCGGGTTCCGCCACCAGAGAAAAGAACCCGGGTTCAAGTTGGGCTCGCTACCATCGCCGTGGTTCTTCTCTCTGCCTACTTCTGCAGGGGCAAGAAACCCGGGCACGGCACGGGGAGGATGATGAAGGCGCCGGGCGCGCGGGGTGCGGTCATTGCGAGGAAGTCCTTTGAGGGAAATCCAAAGGGTTACTTCCGCAATCATCGTGCTCATCAGAAGTAGAAGCTCTACAAGTAGCGGATCGATTTTAGTGGTTCGTGTTGTGACGGAATGTTTTCTAGTTAAATTTTGGCTTTAGTTTTTAGTTTGAATTAGTGGAGCTACGGCATTTTCTCTTATGTGCGTTAAAGCTGTTTCTCATTAATTTAGAGTGTAATAGCTAGCCTGTGATTTTTTTTTAAATGTGAGATCCTAGTGAACTTCTTATCAAAAGGATAATTAGCACTTTCCAATGACTCTGTTTAATTAATCCAGCTTGTACAATCTTCTTGCGGCGTAGGATCTCTGGATAATAATCTGTTACTTTGAATTATTTATTAAAAAAGAAACTTAATTTATGCAAACAAAGAATATTAGGTATTTAGGTTATGGTCGAAATGTTGAGATTGTAGATTGTGGTTAGAAAAGCGTATTGCTCTATGGAGAGTAAAGAGGAATCATCTATGGAGAGTAAAGAGGAATCAAGACTCTATCCACGACAGTGGTCATGTTATTATATTTAGATAGTGGTGGAACCAAAATATTTATTATTTATTTATTTATTTTTATTATTTTGGTGGGGCCGGATTCGGCGCAAAAGCACAAGATAAACAAGTTGTTACTTATTTATTTCATAAAAAAGTTTATTGTGTTAGTCAACTAAATATATAATATTTTGAAATTGGTCCCTCATATTATTTTATTATATTCCCAATTTCATGGTTAATTTAAAACTATTCATGAGAATTGGGGCATCTAATATCAATGTTATTGATTTGAGGGGTTGCTTTTAGAATAACTTAAAGATTTTGGGGAACCTTACATCAAATTCAATGATTTGAAGGGACAAATAGCAAACATTACCGGACTAAAGGACACATGCGTACAAACCCCCGAAGTGATGGCAATTAAAAAAAATAATGTTAGAGGCACACCCCCCACCACAACCCTAACCACACTCACCCCTCTCATTGCTACAGTAAATCGGGTCCCACATGGGATTTTAAAAATTTTAATATCCCATGTGGGACCCGGTTTACTGTAGCAATGGGAGGGGGGAGTGTGGTTAGGGTTGTGGTGGGTGGTGTGCCTCTAACATTATTTTTTATTTTAAGAATGTTAGTAAAAGAGTTGAGGATGATTGTGCAATTTTCCCATTTACTGATATAATTGATGTAATTGATTCATTGTACGCCAATAGTCGATCAACCGCCATCTTACGAAACCTACTCCCCAGTGGGCCTACCTAGTATGTGCCTGATTCTTGGGCGCGTGAAGGTTCAACCGAAATTACGAAGGAAGTGTAGGACGGGTTGGAAATCTGGTGACATGTGCTTAACCAAGACACGTACGCAGCGCACACTAAATACTCTATTATTGGACATGTAGGCCCCACTCCACCATCGGACGGTCGCCATGACATCACGGTCGTGACTCATGCTTCGGTGGGCCCCATCGGGTCGCACCCGAATAGACACATGTGGCCACCACGTGCTCCTCAGCCCATCCACCCGATATGAGGGGCGGTATCGTAATTCATATTTGAAGGAAAGGGCCTTTGTATGCCTGTCCATCTCCTAAATCTGTTATAACCTATGCTCCGCTCTGCTGTGGAAAAATTTTCATTTTAGACCTTTTCCGAAATATATTTTCGGAATATACCTATTTTTAAAAATATGTTTCTAAAAAGATCTAAAACGAAAATTTCTTCTTTTTTTCTTCTGCCCGCAATTTTAAAATTGACAGTAGATTCCATATTAAAATAATTAATTATAACAATTTATGACTAGATAGATATCAGAGAGTGGATGCTCATCCCCGTCGGAAAACCTCGTTCTCTCTATTTAAGTGTGAATGAAACCAACTTTTTTATTCATAAAATTTTAATGATTTTCTCTGTAAAAGTGACGTGCCCTCACAATTTATACACTTTAAAAATTAATCCGAGGAGAAAAATAATGGATAAATAAAATATCCCATATTCAAGCATCCTATTTTTATTCTTTCAGTAATCCTTAACGTTATAGCGTCATACAAGCATCACATACATCGGAAGACCCGTGTTAATTAGCTTTAATCAATTATATACAAGTGATAATAGAGGGGGAAAACAACGGGTAGACAAAAAGCATCATGGAAAATTGGGGGTAAATAAGAAGATGGTGGTGGTGTTGGGGGGTATATATGCAAAAAGATGGAACGAGAAATGGCTTTTAGCTCTCGAGGCCCATTTTCTCTTCTCTCCCCCCTCTCCCTCAGCTTGAAGCTGCTGTTGGTGCTTCTCTCTCATCAGTAGAAGAGAGAAGCAATTAAAGGCTTTCACGACTCTCCCATTCTCTTTGGAGTGGAGGTTGCTTTCTGCTTTCTTTTTGCTGTAACTCTTGTTCTTTTGTGAGCTGTGACCTATAAAAAACTTTGTCAAATTTTGAGAGAGAGAGAGAGAGAGAGAGTTGACACATGGGTTCCTTCAGATCCAGGGAACCCAGATGGGAAAAGGCCCAAAGGTGACATCTTTTGGATTTGGAGGAGGTTTTCTTGTGATCCATCCAGTTTCAACCTCAACCTCAACTTTCCTAGGTTCTTCCCCCTTTCCCCCCCTCCTCCTATTTCCTGTGTTTATTCATCATAAAGTTTAAATCTTTGTGTGTGTGTGTATGGTAGCTAGAGAGGAAGGGGCAACTGTTTTTCTTTTTCTTTTCTTTTGTTTTGGTTTTAGCTTTTTGGGCTGAGATTTAATTCATCAACCTACAAAGGGGTAGAGTTAGATGCGTGTGTAAAGGATTGGATCTGTGTTTTTAGTAAAACCCTGGAAACTGTCTGTGGGAATGGCTCTGAAGGAATGAAGAGGAGGAGAAAGAAATTAAACCATTTTTGAGCAATGAGGGGATATTTTGACTGTAAAGACTTAGAAGGCTGCCACTATAACTGCTGTTGTGGGATTAATTTGCAAGGGAACTCCGCGGGGATTAGATCGAAGAGGGACATAGATGGAGATGTCTGTGAGTATTGTGACACCATTGTTTAAAGTAGCTAGTTCCCTTTGTGACAACCCGGTGGAGTTTGCTCGAAAGAGATTGATGGCGGATGCCGCTACTTTGCTATCAGATCCTGCAACTGCTGATTCGGCTGTGGAGGGTGAAATTGTGGTGGCCGGTGATGATACTGAGGTTAAGTCAATACCCGGAAGTGATGATGAAGATGCAGCCTCTGTGGTTTCTGTCGATTCGGTGGTTGCAGAAGATCTACTAGCTGACATTGGAGCTCTTAGCTCAGTGAGTGAGGTGAAGAGCATTGTTACCAGTGTAGAGATTTCGGACCTAAGTTCAGGTTTGGTGACGGGTCAAAGTGCTTCAACTATTTTTGATGGAATAAGGCCCAGTGTTTTGTTAAAAGAATATGTACCACTTTGGGGGTCAGTGTCAATATGTGGGAGGAGGCCAGAGATGGAAGATGCATTAGCTGTAGTGCCTTGGTTTCACGAAATTCCGCTCGAAATGCTAATTGGCAATAGATTGATAGATGGGTCAATCACGAGCTTGAGCTCGTTGCCTGCACATTTTTTTGGTGTTTATGATGGCCATGGTGGTGCTCAGGTAACCACCCCCTTGTTTTCGTTTTCTTAAATTATTTGGTTGGCTAAATTACGAAATTGGTATTTTTGTGGGATAGACTTTCCTTTTTGGTATTTTAGTTATTCCGGCAATATTAAGGTATTAATTCCGACTTTTCGCAACAAATAAAAATAACAAGCCGTAAAGTGTGTCCTACGAAAATACCAATTTGGTTAGTTGACCGTAGGGGAAATTCAATATTAATACCTTGATGTTGTTGGAGAAACTAAAAATACCAAGTTGGAAAAAATGTCCCACTAAACATAACAATCTGGTAATTTACCCTATTTCAGTATGTGTAAGGTTATGTAATTGGACTACGGTTGGTTTTAATTTCAGGTTGCTAACTACTGTCAAAACCGGGTACACTTAGCTCTGGTCGAAGAAATTAGAATTTTAAACAATGGCACGATAGGCACAAATGAAAGTGATTTAAAGAAACACTGGGAGAGAGCCTTTACCGATTGTTTTCAGAAGGTTGATGATGAGGTTGGAGGAAAGGCAAACCATGGTTCTGATGTGCCATCAGAACCCATTGCCCCAGAAACTGTTGGATCTACTGCTGTTGTTGCTTTAATTTCATCGTCTCACATAGTTGTCGCAAATTGTGGGGATTCAAGGGCTGTTCTTTACCGTGGCAAACAATGTATTCCGCTTTCAGATGATCATAAAGTAAGATGTGGCATTTATGTTCAGTTATGGCTAATTTTCTAATCGATAGTTATGTATTCAGGGCAATAAATCTTGTTTACTCTTATATTAACCACAGCCAAACAGAGATGACGAGTATGAAAGAATCGAAGCAGCTGGGGGTAAGGTTATCCAATGGAATGGGTTCCGTGTATTTGGTGTTCTTGCAATGTCAAGGTCAATTGGTATGTATAATTCTCCTCTAGGATTTTTACCTATGCTGTTTGATATTCTGAAACAAGCATCATGATTGCATTTCCTTGTGATAAATGATTCCCTTAAACTACCATGTTTGTGTAAGTTCTTTGTGTTAAATGTTCATTCTGACTTCTACAGTTGAAGTAAAGGTGTCCTTGCTATAGGATTGTGCTGACTGATAGGTTTCATTGTTAGAAATTTAGAATTTTGCCATTTTGATGATCTGTGATCTGTAGTTTGTTGTTTTAGAAAAGAAATTTGATGTAGACGTGTAGTTTGACTCTGATTTTGCTCTATTGTTTTAGAAAAGAAATTTGATTTAGACGTGTAGTTTGACTCTGATTTTACTCTAGAACTCTTATACTAAGTGAACTCTTGATGAATCCATTTAATTTGTTTATTTTTTCTTTAGCCCTCTCTGCTCTCTTAACAACCAAAATGCCATAGCCCCCTCTGTCCTCTTTAATGAACTATTTAACCCTCGATATTTTTGAATTTTTCATTGACTAGCTTCATATGTTTTATGTAGGATCACTGGATAATTCATCACATAATCTACAAAAGTATACATAGATACTATGTAGCTTTCTCCCACAATCTTCTAAATCGTGTCACTTAACTATATCGTAGAACCTTGTATTCTCACTTGTAGTCGTTTAGGTAGTTCATCTGGGAAACTATGAGATCTTATGTTCCTATGCATCCTATAGCCGTCTGATCTAAGGAGAAGCTTCATTCATTGTACTGGTTATTGCATTGTGGAATCACAATGGAAGGTGAGTGCGTTGATTATAGTGCTTTTTAAACAAAGCATCAATTCATATCACATTGTTTATATGAATTTGGAGGTTACAAGTTACATTTTTTCATTTCCTACTTTGCACACACCTTTTCCAAGAGTTAAGTGCTTACAAGATTGCAGAAGTATCTTTGGACTACTATGTATTCGTATAGTTTAATGGTTATCTCCTGTCTCTTTATTTTTTCCTTTGCTCCATTGGAGGTAATTTATTTAATTCTAGATCTTTATCACTAAATATACTTTGGTCTTTTAGGCCTTAAAGGTTCATATTGTTGTTCTATAGGAAAATCTTGTTGTGGGTTGTGGAGTCTATACTTAACCACACTTTAATCTCGGTTTGCTTGGTTGAATATGTTATCCATAAGCCAAGCAGACTTGTCCTCAATTTCACAATTAAGATTTCTGTTTTTATAGAGCTGGAGGGAGGGTGATGATTGTTGCGAAGGAGCAATGAGGTAAGTAAAAAAATTTCAATGTTGATATTGATCAATGTTGATGTTGATAACCTATCCTTTTAAAACAGAAAATAACATACCTCATTTAAATAATCCAGTAGAGAAGATCAATTACATAGCTGATCCAAGTCTTCACTGAAATGTATTTTCATCAAAAACATTTACTACATTTTTCAGAATGGACTTCTGCAGCTCAAAAAATTTCAATATTGATGTTTTGTTTGTCTTTTTGATGAAACAAGTATTGTTTGAAGCCATGTCTTCATTTGGTTGTGTTTCTTTGTGTTTTTGTGGGGCTGGGGGTAATTTCTAAAACATCCGTCGACACGTCTGATATTGTCTGAAATGCCATTTTTTATGTTTAGATTTCATGTGGAACACCTATGATCTGTATATACATTATCCAATAAGACACTTCAATATTTACTAAATATCCCCTGTATATCCACAACATCGCAATCTGATATTGAGTTTTTAGTCTTGCATGATCCCATTATTTGATATTTAGAACACTGGGGAGGGAAGGGGACGGGAGGGGACTCATTAGAATGAATATTTGTCAAATACAGTATGTATATTACTAGGAGGTTGTTAAATCTAGGTCAAGTGGTCAGGAAGTTTTGCTAATCGTAAATCTTTAACAAAGATTACACATGCTAGAGCTGAATGTTTCTTGGCTGAATTTACTAATTGCCATGTCCACAAAATTCAAAGAGGATTTTTTAAATAAATCAGATTGTTCTTGTAAGTGAATAATCAAACACTAAGCCAAACTTGTAGTGCGTAGTGAGGAGGTTGCATATTGAATCAGCTAACTGGTGGAGTCAGTTTTCTGATCTAGTTTACTGAAGAGGGTTACTGAGCTTAAAGAAGGAAGAATTTGAAGGTGAAGCATGTGGAAGTAAAATAATGCGGAGTTGGTAGTTTAAAATCTGGAACTTTGGGTGAATTCTAGGTTACCTTTAATTTGTAAAATATAGACTATGATCGATTAACCCTGACATTTTATAAGATATCTTCAAAAGTGCTGAAATTATGAATCGAATTTTATTAGGAGAATAGTAAAAAAAATGACTCATCCATGATAACATGGAGTAGTTGAAGAGAAAAATTAAGGGAAAATTGCTTCAGACCCTCTACTTTTGGAGTTCCAAGTTTCTCCTTTTGACATTTTTCTCTAGCCTCCCCTCTCTTGACGCAAAGATTCATGCATCCATCCCCTTGGTATCATATGCCTTTTTTGAATATCCTTAAAGTGCCCTCATCAGGTCGTCATCCCCAACCTCTCAGCTTCCCATCTCTCATGAACCCTCACTCCTTCAACCACTCCTTTGCTGCCAACCTCTCTTCCTGTGTGACTGCCTTTTGTCAACGCTTCATTCCGTCGCCCTCAACCTCTCAGCTTCCCATCTCTCATGAATCTCACTCCTTCAACCACTCCTTTGCTGTCCGTCTCTCTTCCTCTGAGATATCAAAAGAGGCAGCGGGCAACGACGGAGGAGAGATTGGCACCGATATGGTCAACCTCACTAAAGGTGGCAAAACATAGGTAAATGTGAAAAGTTCAAAACAAGTTAGACGCATAAGGTAACAATTAATAGCTAAAAAAGGTGACGACATTTCACACAAATAATAGCTAAAGATGACAAAAGTATGCTAAAAGTAACAAGTAAAACACAAAAGTACCAATTCATAACTAAAGGTGAAAAAGTTCAAAACAAGTTAATAGACACAAATGATTAATAGTTAACGGTGATAAAATTATGCTAAAAATAACAAGTTAGACATAAATTTAACAATTAATAACTAAATAGGTGACAAGCCATCGCTTTTGCCTGCTGCCTCATCGCCAACGTATCCTTTGCGTCCCTTCCCCTCTGGCTTCCTTCAAGCGCTACTACTGCCTTACTCTGGGCTGGCCTGAAGGGAGGGGAGGCAAATAGAAGGCAGCCAAGGGCATCTTATGCAAAGTGAAGCAGCGGTGGAGGGATGTGGCTGCTGCGGGGGAGAGGTCAGCGGTTAAGCGGAAGGGATGGTGGTCGAGAAAGGAAGAGAGGGTTCGTGGGTTCACGAGAGAGAGAGAAGAGGTTGAGGGTGATGACGTGACAGATGGTATTTTAGAGAGATTCAAAATTGCATGCAAGTCACGGGGTTAGATACACGAATCTTTGGGTGAAGGGGGTGGAGGTGTGAGGAAGATGTCAACGAGGAAAGGTTAGATCTCTAGATGTAGGGGAAATGTAGGGGGCCTCGAGCAGTTTTTCCAAAAATTAATAATCTCACCTGAGGATAGTAGATGTTGACTGAAAACATATTATTGTGCTTAGATGATGTTGGAGAACGGTGATGGAGAAGAGAAGACATTGTAGCACTGTCTCCTCAGTTGAATATTAGTCTAGGAACTCGTGTTAAAATTGACAAACCAATTTTCTAGTTGCAAGCTATATGCAATTGGTTGTTTTGACATATCCATAGTGGATATGTATATGATTCTAGGATATATTTTATACTTGACATATACTTGTTAGGAAATTTTTTTTACAATGATTGAATACATGATATAGATATGTATTCTGGACCTTGAAGTTAAAAATGTAATATTTCAATAATGTCTTTATATAAAATTTCATATTTATAATAAGGAATATGATTCTTCACATAATTACTCTACATAGATTGCTATAATTGTTTTATGATGTTTGAGATTTTGTGCTTTTAAATGTTTGCTCAAATAATGGAAACATACTGTAAAGCTATATTTGTACTATATCAGCTCATCTGATTAGTAAGCCGATCTGGGCTGATTTATCAGATTCTGATATTCGTGATCATAGTGGATAGTCAAGAAAACTGTTTTTTTCGTACTCTGGATTATCTTTCTATTTTCTTCCCTTCATTGCTTTGCCAGTGATAATTTTTTTTGTTTTCTTATTTTCTGCATTTAGTATATTTATTTGTTATTAACTTTTTAACACTCATGGCATGTTCTGCCGCTAAAGTACTTGAATCCTAAGCCCTCTCTTGCCGCTTTGTTATAGCTTCTGGTTTCTGCAACATTCGCACCTACAATTGGCAAAATATGGAATCTTTGTGCTAACAAAGATTTCTGCATGTGTGTGGTCTGTGCCTGAGTACATACATGATTGCAGGTGCATGCTAGCATGTATGTGTACATATGTGCAAGTGTGCATATTATGATCAGTACAATGTGTCTCATCAAGTGTATGCCTGCTAATGTGCCATGTGTTGCCCATGCTCTTTGAGTTTTCAAGTGTATACCATCAAAGTACCACTAATGGTCAAAGTGCAACCAGTTAGTATGCATATTTTGGGCGGCGTATAGATCTTAGTTGGAAGCAATTAAGAAGGATAGTATAATGATTAACCTAGTGGTGAGGATAGCTCTCAGAATAATTGAATGGAAGAGTAGGATTCATATAACTGACCTAGAAAAGTTTGGGATGAAACGTTTTACTGTTATAATGATTTCTACCGAATATAAAATATTCTAATCTATTACAAAGTTGGTAATAAGGGAGCATTAGGATTGTTAATATTACCGTCCATACCCGTGAGCACCAGAAATACTCAGTTCTCTGCTAAATACAGGGGACAGATACCTGAAACCATGGATTATTCCAGAACCAGAAGTCACAATAACTCCTCGAGCAAAAGAAGACGAATGTATCGTCCTAGCTAGCGATGGATTATGGGATGTCATGTCAAATGAAGAAGTATGCGATGTCGCTCGAAAGAGAATTCTTTTATGGCACAAAAAGAACGGAACAACGACAACAACCGCCTCTTCATCATCTCAAAGAGGAGAAACCGCTGATCCTGCTGCTCAAGCCGCAGCAGATTATCTCTCGAGGCTTGCTATTCAAAAGGGAAGCAAAGACAACATAACAATTATTGTTGTTGACCTCAAAGCTCAGAGGAAGTTCAAGAGCAAGACCAACTCTGGGAGCTAAAACACTCGGTTCAAAATCTGTCTGTATCAAAGCCAGAGGATTTGCATTTTTATTATTCTAATGTCAGTTCCGTATAATCTTGTACGGTTCTCTCTTGAACGTAGGCTGAGAGTACTGGCTTTGTAAATTTGAGGTGTGCTGGAGGTTATAAAATTGGTTGTAATGAATCAGCCGTAACACCTTCTAACACTTTAGCTAATTGTATTTAGTTTTTACTGCCTCCGAGTTTACTGCTCTGAGAGGTATCTGGCTGGGTTAAATACTACCATTTTATCATTCTTCACCATTGCAAACGTTATCGATGGAATCCATTTACTAGTTGATTTCTATGGAAATTACCTCTTGACCTATGTATGCAAGAGGGCTGTCCTGTATTGGATGCAAAGTCTATGTCTAGTTGGCAATTGCGCGTGTGCGATTATGTTTCGATCAAGCTTGCACAGGTTATGATACTTGCAAGAACATAGAAATACATGTTAACGATTGAAGACTCATGTTCAGTGTGCGACGGATTTAAAAGTTTATACTGATAATAATTGATATTTTTTTTAGCTTTCGATGTGTATGAGATATTTCATCTGATGTGATACCACGATATTTCACCATTTACATTTATACGAGACTCCTTTTTTTTCTTCTTCTTTGAAACGTCAGAATTGCTCGACTCATATCCATGTCTCATAATTATCGTTGTTAAATACAAATTCCATCAGAATATTCCCCAGATGGAAAGCGTTGTGATGCCGATCCATTTGGGGGCTTAACTCCCAGCACTCCCCCTATTTAAAGAGAAGCAGAAGAAACTGTGGCATTGCTCTCAAAGCAGACATACAGAAAACAACACAGATTCTAATTTTGCGCATAATTTATTTATAAATCATTCCTTGTGGTTCAACGGATCTCCAAATCTAACATTACAGCTTCAAGTTCAGTCCATGGGATAACACATGCAGGTGAAGTTACAGTTTACACTAGCTCCTCGCATAAAACCTTATTAACTGCCTCGCAAACTTCTTTTTAGTACTTTCTATATGCCAACTCCTTCACCACCTCTCCAAGAGGTCCCTCTTTCCTAATACTCTGTACCCACTTTGTATTGATTCCAACGCGCTCAATGCTCTGCTTCAGTGTTCTAACAATTGAAGGTGTGGATCGGGTAGCAAAGAATTCTTCTGCTTCCTTTGCTTTCTCATCAGAGCAGAACTGTAATCATATAACCAAGCTATGTTAGAAAAATGTTTTTGCCCCCTTGCTCACGAACTGAAAAGGTCTGAGATAGATAATGACCGGAGAGACAATGTAAGTAACAAATCTGCCAACTAGATATCCAGATCCCCATGTTTTCTTAATGTGCTCCCAGTTATCCTGTACACCGATCAAGGACAAAATAACAATTAATTAGGTATCTTTCCACATGAATTGAAGTCACATAAACACCACTAAAGCATAATTTTTCTCTGGTCCTAACAAGTAAGGTTGCATGCCAGGAAGTCAATTCTGCAAATATCGTACTCTACAATATATTTAATAGAGGATGAAAAGTAAACAACACAAACTAAATTGAATCAGAAAGACTAGAACTTCGAAGAAACTGTGTCATGGGAAAATTATCTGAACAAGGGCATGCAAGATATATAAAGGTGGATAAAGTTAGAAGTCAGTTGGTCGCTATTTCATTTAAAGCAAGCGATGTTTGTTCTTACAACCCCACCTTCCAGGCTTTATTTCCAAAATAAAAACTGTTAAAAAAGATAGTCAAACATTAATAGACACCAATCGACTTCTTTCTCTAAGGAACTTTTATTTCTTTGAAAAGAAGTGGTTTTCTTAATTAAAAGACTAATGAAAGAAAACCATAGTACTTTTTCCAGGCATGACATTAAGATGAATTTCTTCTTTCTAGTTCTATTCAGGCAGTTGATTAAATCAGGGATGTAGCTGTTTAGTAGCTCAGAAAATGATACCTTCAACCATGTCCATGCAACATCACGCCCCTCCCTACTAACACCTGCAAGTCCAAATATAGCATCTTGATTCCGAACCTAGAAGAAAAGTCAAACTAAGTTGAGCAACTATCACAAAATAATACCACTGAAGGTCATCACACAAAAAATGAAAAATTAAATGGAGTCAAAGTAAGCTGTATAAACCTCTGGAGACAACAAAAAATTAAGAACATCTCGAACAACTTCTGGATCTAGGCAAGATGCCAGAGAACCTTGCAGTCACAAGAAAAAAAAATTCAGCATCAATGTATAATGTTATAATTTTTCATCCATATAATGTGGAGAATATTCGACATACTGAGGATACGGGTTTTTTCCTGGCTTAAGTCAGTCTCCCTGTAAACTTTCAGAAGGTTTTCATATCCAGACTTGTCCATACTATTAACAGCCTGCATTACTGCAACATATGCAGCCTACAAAAGAATTTAATAACGCCAATGAGTATATGTGCATGGGGCATTAGAAAAGTATGCATGTACTTGTTATATAGTCAACCTTTCTTGTATCAGGAGGAAGGAGAGATGTATTTCTATCATCTAAATATACACCGAAACACCTTAATGCTTCATGCTGAGTAACATCATGTCCGAGTTCAGCAAGAGCAACCAAAAGTTCTCCCCTTAACATCATATCCAAGTGGCCTTCTCCTTCCTTAGAATCCCAACCTAGCCTCCTGAAGAAAAGAAAGAAAGATCGAGTTGAACTCAAAAGATGTTACACCACTAATGGTAACCAAGTGCTTGCTTATAAAAGTGAAATTACACCACTGATAGTAACCATCTATAAGAGCGAAAAAGGATTTCTTTCAAAGAAACAATTGGGTAGAAGAATAGAATGATAGAATAGCCATGTTTTAGACATCACATTTTTGACATAACATGCAACTATAAATTGACAAAGGCATCTTTTGACTGAATCTATCTAGAATAAAAACAAAATAGCAATATGAACTTTGGTCGGTCATACGACCCCATGAATGCAGTAGATTAACTGCAAAGGGGTGTTATTCATTTAAGATTGTTTGGTAGGACTAGGAGTGTTGTCCAAGAACCTTACATTTTAGGATTTGGATTAGGACTGAGATATTATTTATATATATTTATTATCTAATATTTATATACTTATTTGCTATATTTATTATCTAATATTTAATAAATATTAAATATATATTTATATAATTAATATATATTTATATAATATTAACATATATTCAATATCTAATTTCTATATATTAAAAATTTGGTAAATAATGAATATATTTAACATCAGTAAATATTAAAGATACAAATGATTAAATAATATTTTAGTTAATTTATTAACTATATTTAAAAATTCATTAAAAAGATATTTGAAATTAAACATATTTAATATTTAAATAAAATATTAAATATGCTAAATAATTTAAAATATTCAAGTATTTAAATTATTTTATATATTTAAGATATGCTAAATAATAAATATATTTAATATTTTAAAACTAAATATATTAAATATTAGTTTTTAACAAATAATAATATTAAATATTAGTTTTTAACAAATAATAATATTAAATATTAACATGATTAAATAATGTTAAGTATTAAATATATATTGTATTTCAAATGTATCATATATATTTAAAGAATTAGATTAAAAAGAAATTAAAATGAAATATATTTAATATTTTATTAAATAACTAATAATATACAAACTAGTATTTAATATTAAGTAGAAGTGTTATGTAAATATTAGTTAGTAATGTTAGTTTTTTTTTTTAAATGTGGAGTCATAAAAAGGAGGAGGAGAGAATCCTAGGAGTAGCATCATAATTCACCAGTTTTAACTAGGATTTTTTTCCTTAAAGTTTTTTCTCTAGAATGTATAGAGTAAAATTGGGATTTGGATTTTAAAATCCAAGTCATAATCAAAATCCTAGACAACCAATAACACTTAAAATCCAAATCCTCATCCTAAACCAATAAAACTTAAAGTTAAAATCCAAATCCTAGTCCTAAACAAATAACACTCTACATGCAAATCCCAAAAAGTGTCCTAATCCTAATCAACAATCCTCAACCGATAACACCACCCACCCAACAAAAAAGAAAAAGAAAAAAGAAAAAATTCCCCTGCATGCAATAGAGTTTCCAAGTTTACGGAAAATCATTGTCTTGTTTTCCTTAGCCAGGAATCCGACTCCAATTGAAAGATAGTTGATACTAGGCTTCCTCAATTTAAATTCTTGACTAGTTTTTTCCCCATGTAATGCATGTAATTAAATATTATCATGTTATTAAACCTTTGAAGACAATTATAAGTGAACAATTTAAAGATAGTAAAATTTTAAATTTTACATTTATTTTAGATGGAGAAAATATAGAGAAGAAAAATGAACGCCCAGATAAAAGGAAAAGGATAATTAATGATAAAGAATATGAAAAGTCACATAGCTATTTTTTTGCCAAGTGCCCAAGTTTGCAAACAAAGGCTGCTATTTTATTAGTATAGTGTTGATAGTATAGACATATATTCACAGTTTAGTGGAAAACCAAAACTTTGTAGCATTTTGTTATCCCAGGACACCTATACATTCAAACTGATGTTCTGAAAATTGAATAAGCAAGTGCATACATCAGGTTGCAAAAGGAATGAATGTTGATGAACATTTTTATCTATCTAGAGAAAAGTAAAAGAAGCAAAGCCATGAGGAGTTACTCTGCGGGAAACTGGAGAAGGTTGATAAAAAATTGTTTGATGTCATTCAATAATTCTGGAACTGCATCAGCTGCCACATTAACAATCTTGCGACTTATCTGTTAAGGGAAAGCACAATATTTATCTTTCAAGGCACAATCACGAAACAATAAAGGTTCAAAGATCTACAGAAGCACATACCGTGATTACGAGTGACAGCACAGTATAATCAACTTCTTCCCTGTAAGCAGCCATCAAAGAGAGTAAGGATGACAATGTTTGCTTGCCAGCCATGCATAGGGAATATGCATCATCCAAAATGCCTAAATTTGAAATATTAGGCAAACATTTTAGTTATGATGTAACAGAGAAATACAATCATCACGCATAATCATATTACCAAATCTATCCATTGCAGACAGTTGTTTCGACTCTATTGCATGCCTAAGCCCAGCAGCAAGCTCATCATTATATTTCACCCTATAGAAACCTGTTTGATCAACATTGCATTTGATCCAAAAGTGTCTCCCACTCTGTTGATTCCCTGTCCCCACCAGGTTTGAGTCCGCATTTGAAGAATTTATAAATTCTGTCAAATCTAACTTTTCGTGTTTTGCACTTAATAGGAACTTTTTCTGAGATGAATATGAACCACAACATAATGTTACAGGAACTATCCATTGTCCATCACCTGTGGATCCACTAGACAAAAACTGAGACTGCAACAGAACAATACATAGTGAACACGTCATAGAATGCAATAAGTCAAAGGAAAACATGAAGTAACTGAGCAATATTACATAAGTACTAATTTACAATCTACTTTTTCATAGAATACATTGCACCAAACACTCAAGTAAGATTTTGCATGATAAACATTAATACGGGGATACATGCCGGTGTCTTTGGATTGGTTTGCGAGAGAAAGCGAACATGCTATGTATATAACAACATATATAAATCCTCAATGCACCCTAAATAACAAAAGATGATTCCTAGAGACAAGTTACGAGTATCTTTCTCATGTCACTGACATTGGAGACACGACAATGGTCACAAAAGATGATTCCTAGAGATTAGCTAATTTACGGCCCTTGCTACAAGATCAATTTTTTTTCTTTATTTAATGCGCAATGAATGCTTCACTGATATGTATTCCCCCTTTTGCCTCATATTTATAATAATCAATCTAGGAGATTACATGTTGCTTCAGAAACTGTAAAATTTTCACTGGTGATACTAACAGAACTGGTACATTTGCCTTTGTGGCAATTAACTTTCTCATATTAACTACTACCCAAAAATGAAAAAAAAAGGTTTTCACCTTAGAAGTTAAATAAACACAACTAATATCAGTTTGAAATTAACTATGAATCACTTTGGATTCTGATACTTTTTAACAAATTTCATTAACATTAATGATAATCTCTTCATTGTAGGTAAGAAAGAGAACTCAAGATCACGAAGTTTCAGATGCTTTCTTTAATTTAGATTATTTCTGTTGCTGTGATATTCAATTAATATCTTTACATTGTATAAGTTATTTACTTTCTAATATTTTGGACCAGATTATAGAGACATTTCAATGTTACATGTGATGATACACTAATTTTCATTACTATTAAATTTGACCCTAGCAAGTATGAAGCCTGCCTCGAAAGGGCAGACAGCTTGTAAATGGTATCCAATAAACCAATAACCCGATCCCCATTGCTTGTTTGTTTTTGACTTCCAATGTAAAAAAAAAGGAACCCAATTTTTTGGGTTAAATTTGGATAAAAAAGTGCAATTTGATTAATTGGAAATCATATTTGGATTTTAAATATTTCAAACCTGATAGCATTTGGATAGTTTTTTTAGGAGGGGAGGGGAGGGGAGGAGTTGGGAAGGTTACAATGCAAACCATCTTAAAATTGTGTTTGTTTACATTTTTTAGTAAGAGGGGAAGGATTTTTTTTTTTTTTTGGCGGGGGGGGGGGGGGAAAAAAAAACAATTTT